CCTTAGAGGTCTTTTCCAACCTATGATCTATGACTCTCATCGGACAGGGTGCTTGCCGGGGAAGGGAAGAGCGACACATCCTCCGGTGATGCAATGCTTCACAAACCCCATCTGGCCTTTCCCACTACAGGGACCAGACCTGGCCACCTCCAAAACTGGGCTGGACCCTCCGGTCAGTTTGCCACCAGATGACACCGAATAAACCAGCCCAGAGGGGACACGTTGGGTGGCTCGGCCCCCCCCTCCCCTCAAAGCAGCCCCTGTCCCCCATCACCCTGTTCCTCTGCCCCCCACCTCAGCCAGACCTGCCTGCGGTGCCGTGGAGTGATGCAGCCGGCTCGGGCACAGGGTTATTTGCATCGGGTATTGTTATATTTGGTTATAACAGCATCCGATAAGGCACCCGCCCACTCTGTGTTGATGTGCTGATGGAAAATTAAATCATTAAGTTTGGGTGTCTGCATGTCAGTGGAAAGTATTAAACCTTGTTTTTGTGCCCTGGCTGCCAAGAAAGCCAATGGGATCCTGGGGTGCATCACGAGGAGTGTGGCCAGCAGGGCGAGGGAGGTTCTCCTTTGCCTCTGGGGGGGGTTGGACTAGATGACCCACAGAGGTCCCTTCCAACCCCTACTATTCTGTGATTCTGTGATTCTGTGATTCTGTGGGGCCAGACTCTTTCCAGTGGTGCCCAGCGACAGGACAAGGGGCAACGGGCACAAACTGAAGCAGAGGAAGCTCCAGCTGAACCTGAGGAAGAACTTCTTCCCTCTGAGGGTGACGGAGCCCTGGCCCAGGCTGCCCAGGGAGGCTGTGGAGTCTCCTTCTCTGGAGATATTCCAGCCCCGCCTGGCCGCGGTGCTGTGCAGCCTGCTCTGGGTGACCCTGCTTGGGCAGGGGGTTGGGCTGGGTGACCCCCAGAGGGCCCTGCCAACCCCTGCCATTCCCTGATTCTGTGATTCTGTAAACAGTGATGAGTCTGGTCGGGTCTCAGCAGCCTTTTGTGTCAACATCACTGCGGACTCAGCCTTTGCCGGTCTGCACCTCCGAGAACAGCGTCAGTCGCTGCTAATAATGTCAGACAAGTGCTTTTAAATATTAAGGATCTAGTTCTTTTATTTGCTTTTTTTTATTTTTAGGGGTATTGAATTTACATAGCAATCCTTATGGAGGTTTTGGAATGGCAGCGCAACAGCAGCAGTTCATTCTTTGGCTTCTATCTCGTTACGAGAAGTTACGGACGGAGCAGCTAATGAGATCTGCTGCCTTGTTAAGAAATGGTAATGACGTAAGGCTACTAAAATTAGCAGCATCAGTGGTCCACCCTCCCGCCCCAGTACAAAGTGCAGTGCAGCCCCCCCAGCCCTCTGCCCTTCAGCAAGCGCCTGGGGGGCCGCGTTCAGTCCCTCCTTTCAGCATCGCCCACACCCGAGTTTTTTCGGTGAGGAGGATTTGGGGTGGCCCAGGGGTGCGAGGCTGGGTCGTTAATCCCAAGAGATCATCATGGCCGCCTTCCCTGAGCTCCTGGGTTTCCTCCTCCTTCCTTCGCCCCTCCTGCCCTCTCTGCTTCGTCACTAAAAGCATTAAAATGGTGACGTTTGGGTCAAAATTCCCCTTGCTAAAGGGGCTGGGGTTTTCTAGCATGGAGAATTTTATTTATATATATATTATATAGACTTTTATATATATATATATGTAAGGAGAAGACCCCAAGTGAGAGTCTGGGGGTCCATAGCTGGACCCCTGGGCAG